GCACTATATGCAGTATTAATGTGTAAGGAATGAATTTGCAATTGCTTTTTCAGTGTGGCACCTTTTGCATTCTTTTTTTTCTCCTCTTCCCACCCTCTCCGATTTTCCTGCCTTGAGTATTTTCAGTTTCTCTTTTTATGAATTGTTTTCCAAGAGGCACAAAAGGTCCTTAAGAGGGTTTGTCTCACCCTGCAGGCAGTCCTCACATACCTGGTCCTCTTCCAGGACTTGAAGGCAGCATGAAGAGAAGAGTAATAGGTATTTTGGAGTGTTCCTGTGTTATTTAAAGTGCTGTTCTCTTGCACTTTTATGCATGCTTCACTTCAAGACTATGTGGGGGTCTTGCAGAAGTGTGAGGATGATGCAGCCATGCAGCAGCATACCTGCTGAGCTGCTGACAGGATCAGGCTATTGTGGCCTCACTGGGGTAGCCGTGGCTGATGGTGGAAAAGACACTGGGGCTCTCTGGTGAGAGCAAGTCACTTTGGTCAAATGTGTTTTCTCTCAAGCCAAGAACTCTATCCAAGTTAGTTCTAAAAACCAGAGAAGTTTGATGCCTAAATGTTTGAAATACAGTAGATTCTGACAAGTATGTAGTTTAATTGTGTAGGAAGGCTTGTTTTCCCTTCGTGGGGGACCGGCAGAATAAAAAAAACTTTGTTTGTATTTGTTCCCATGTGGGTCAAGGCAAAGAATCTCGCTGTAAGGCAATGGTGCAGGAACAAGCCTTATAACCAAAATATTTGGCTGTGCAGAGGCATTTCTCAGCACACCACTCCTCCTGGTTTTGGGTCTTTGTTCATATTTCTCTTCCATCTTGCTTTATATACCAAACTTGCATGTAAACAGTGATGATAAGTGCCTCAGTGTATTTCAGGGGGGCTGAAAATGCCTCCTGGATACTGGCCAGCTGCTTCTTACGTGAACTGCGGATTCCTAGTTCAACAAAATAAACTGAATCTAGTTCATGTGCCCCTTTCCAACAGAATATCAACCCCCTTCCCTCCCTCCCTCCCCCCCGCCCCAAGGAGTTGTATGGCATTTGGCATAGACTGCAGTGCCATTAAAACACAGAAAACATTTTTAAAGACTACATACTAATTTGCAGTTTACATTTACTTCCTTTCCTTACGGCTTTTC